AAAAAAAAAAATTTTCGAAGACAACTTTCTAAGAATAGGATCTTTGAAAAGCCAAAACTCAAGTTTTTCAGCTCCAGAAATCATATAGAAAGCAGAAAAATGATGTTTTCAGAGACTCTATTCTTAGAAAACTATCAATCATCTTCATCTTCGTAAATTTTTATTGGAAATAAAATTCTCTACACAAATGATAATTTAAAGTTTTATTAACATTTACGGCAGCGAAAAAAGAAATTGAAAATAAACCTATATATAGTTTACTTTTATTAATTTTAAATATAAGGATAATGAAAAACTTTTCAAATATAGATCTAATGACTAGAAAGAAAATTACCTTGATGCTTCTTCTGAACTTCCAGCTAAAAAAAATCCTCTTGTTCGTTTAGCAATTCGATAATATTTTGATGTTCGATCAGGATTAATAGCTAATCTTCTTTGTCCATTTTCTTCACAAACTTCAATAGCAAATAAAAGTATATCAAGTTCAACTAAACAAAATCTAGAAATTTTTAATAAAAATTTTAAAAATTTCATTGAAAAGTTTTTTTTCTTTCTTTCGAACCTAGCAGCTTCACTAAAATTTTTTAAATCATGTACAAAATAATTTGATAATGTTTCTGTATACATTTCAAGTGAAGCACCTCGAAGATATTCTTGTAACCAAATAAATCGGCTAGGTGAACTCTAAATTTAGAAAAATAAATTTTTTAATTAATTGATATAAAAGAAAAAAAACGAATTTATTTTCATGCAATAACAATGTAGCAAATACAAAACTACAGACAATTTTACCTGTTCAGTTAATTTTCCGGCTACCTAAAAATATTGTGTTCTTTTTATTCTTTCTTTCTGTCTTTGTCTTATCTAGCATTCCATATATTTATTTCAATTTAAACTTATTGAGTTTTTGAAATATTTTACTTACTTCTGTATCCGAACGCATTGCAAAAATATTAGCTATCATTGTTGAAAAACCTGGATTCAGACAACTTTCAGCAATTAAACCTAATTTTAACTCTAGACACAAGAAAACATATGTCGATATATCCAACAGGAAACAAAAACAAGATATATTTTCTTATCTTCTTACCAGCAATACATACAGCTTCATCTGTATTATTATTCCATGCTGGTATATTCATTAAATGCATCTATAAAATATG